AGAACATATGATCACTTTCCTCAACTAAGCTCAGGAGTTTCCTCACTAGTTATAGGACTTTACATACGAATTCGGGTAGAAATGTTCAAAAACCAAAAGCATTCCACTCAAATTCCCCTTATTGTCACCGACATACAGAGCGCCCCACAGAAAAGTGCAGAATTCGACGAAATTCCCACTGAGAAATAGCTCATATAAAGATCTTGGCGAGCGCTTTCCAGTGGTATCTTCGAACTCCAACCATGCCTTGGGTCTGCCGAGCTATACACAACTAAGTTATGCAAAATTGCTGAAAATCCGTGAAAAAAAAAGTTCAAAGCCGATTTATCAACGCGATATGGCGCTAAGCATTATGAAGCAGATCTGAAATTCAAAGGAAGCATCGAAAAGCGCTCGCCAAGATCTATTTCTCCGTGGGAAATTCATTGAATTCTGCAATTTACAAACAATAGCACACTTCATTTAAGGCGCTCTGGATGTACTGTAGACTACTTTTATTTTCCCACGGAAGTCCATGGCCTTAGCGATGCCCCTGGCCACATCGGCTATGCTTAGCTCACCGTCCTCGGAGTCTTCGTCACCACAACAGATATACCTACATTACCATGAATCACAGAAAACTGTTGGTTGTCGAGTCGCAGGAATATTACGAAACTATGTCTACCGCAGGGCCCACCCTAGAATCTACATCTCCCGTGCGTGGCGGTTTGAAGAGTAGATGAATAATGATCCTCTGAAGAGAAAAGACGCATATGAGAAGCATGTTGCTTTCGAAACTCACAGCCATATCCTTTGAGTATATGAACTGACGTAGAGGCTTGCCAGTACCCAACACGACGAAGGCCTGAAAGCGTCCAACTCCTATAGTAGGGTATATACATAATATTCACCTCGCCGTTTTTCTTTGCGTCGTAGCACTTCCTGATCAACGCCGGTATGACGTGAGAATTCACCAAGTGGAAGTTGTCATATGGTCCGTAGATATTAGTGGGGACCACACACAACCAGTTGGGCAAGTTGTATCTATCAAAACGGTTTCCTCCTCAGAGGAATAAATTCCACGGTAGCCTTACGCTTTCCGATAGTATCGAACTTGGCACTCCATCATGCGTTTGCTATAGGCATATCCCTCATTCGAGAAGTGCGGTGGCCCTAAGGATGGATAATAAGAAGAGTAGTAAAGACCGATAGCTACCCTTATGCAGGTCCTCTTCCGTTATAGGCAATTTGGCATCAGCTGGGAACACACAAGTGCTCAAACAGAATATGGCGTTTTTAACCTGCTGTGAGAAGTACTGTAGACCGACTTGATTATAGGGAGGCACACTCTCTATTCGCGATAAGTCAAATATATAGTATGTACTCTGACTACTTGTGATTTATTATGTTCTCCGATGATTAATTTCAAGCAAGATTATGGTTGCTGTATCAATGAACCGATTCGCGTACACCGCCGCTTAGTTGATAAAGGGTGAGTTCCCATGCGGTCACTTACCCCAACACGGGCGGCATTACTAAGTACGTTACTGTTGAGCTTGAGATTGTCCTCGAAAAAACCGAGGTTGTCCTGCATGTTAGCAAAGAGACCTCCGACACGGGCCGCTAAGTGGACGAGATGACTTGGCTTTACTCTAAAGGAAGACCCTCAGTCGTTAATAGTAAACTACCACATATACCTGTCGAAGAGAGCTGCCGTAGCCTCGGGGTCTCGAAGGTCGGCATCTCCTGAGTGGACGAAGTGCCACTCTGCTCTTGCACCGGGATGAGAGGCATTAAGCGCGGCAACCTACAGCCTAGTATAAACGCCTCGGCTGTGATTAGATGGTCAGAAGCTGTTCTCTCACGACCGCACTCGCCAGAATGGCTCATTGCAGTATAGCCACACGTTTATGGAGTTTCACCACACTAGTGATATGAAAAACACAAGTGGAAAATATATTTCACGACTACTGCATATCACCGCAAATATCGCGTAAAACGCGTTTCACGTAAAACGGGTGAAACTCCAATGATCTTGAGCATGCAGGACTTGGTCTGCCCGAGTCATGACTACCTCATCCTGAATGGCTCTGCCCACCAACCCTCTTCCCCCCGTTACCAATACCACAGGCTTCTTGATCGCAGCCATTCTCAATAGAGAAAAACGTCTAAAGCAAAGACCTGAGTGTGACAAGCTGTTCCGAAACCCGACAGCGCGACAAGATCCACGACATGTTATCGTCCACAACCAGTTCCCCAGGTTTGCGCATCTTCACGTAAAGGATTTTCCACAAAATCGATTACGAGGGCGCGCGCGATAGCGACTGCGCAATAACAAGTCGCATTGGAATGCCGATCGCTGCGAACTTGACTTCTTCCTCGTTAGCTATTACTCATCAATCTCTTTGTACATACTATGTGGCGGCCGCTTATATGGGCCTTGCTTCCCTCTTTTCTGGCTTTGAAAACCCTGAGCACACCCTCTATTACAACTAAAGCACCATCGAGCCTTAACTTCGACTGTTCTACTATGTACGACTCTCCCTCTTCCTAACGTGTATTGTCCTATTCACACTAGCAGATATCAAGAAGCTCTTGCGGCTCAGCAGAATGTTAGGAATATGGAGCTCAGCGTGAAGTCAACAGAAGAGGAGATGGTACAGTATTCAGATGGAGAGAACGAACTGCAAGATAAAATGGGGTGAGGCGAACTTAATCGACGTGTATCACTAAGTCGTAGTGAATGTGAGCGCGTTGCGGTAGTGTTTCACGGCGTCAATCAGAGATTCATAATGGCTCGTGTACAACTAGTGTTCGGAGTATGAACAACCGATAGATATATAATTTATTATATATTGAAGTCATGGCATTAATGATCATATTTATATTATATATAATTATGTGCTAATATAAAGTAGTATAACATTTAATATTAACAATAGATTTATAACCCGACAGAAGATTGCCCTTGTTTTCAGGCAGCTCAGCGACGAGCTTGAGGGCAAGATGTCCAGAGTTCATACTGCGGTAAGACCTCGAAATGTATTACTCGTAGGGATCTTTGCTTTGCAGAAGGGGGATGTCAAGACTGCTGAGGCAACTCTGGCGACTAAGGAAGCTGCTCTGCAAAAATCAACGGTAGCACGCGAAAAGGGTTTGAGAAAATATGATACTACTCAACACTGTGGGGAAAAATATGTAAATTCTGTTGGAAAATTCTTGTCAGTTTCTGTACATTTCCGCCCAAATTCGTATGTATACGTCTATGGTGAATTCCTGAGCTCAGCTGAGGAAAACGAGCATATTCTCCAACACTGTTATTCAGGGCGTGTTAGAGGACAGGAAAGGGCGTCTGGGAGATCTGAAAAGCTTCGTGGCTAATATAGAGGACAAGCTCAAGGTAAAACATCCTGAATATTACAACCGTGAATTGGCAGCCGAAGTCCAGTGGTTGTGATTTCTTACAGGTGGTCAATTCAGAAAGTGCTCATATTGGAAGTATGCTGCAAGATGCTAGGGCAAAGCAGAAGATGATTCGTGATAACATCGAGTCGAAAACTGAGTGAGATCGACGGCCAACGATCGCTGAATGAAACCGCTGTTGTAGGACCTCACAGAAAGCACGTCAAATGCTTGACGAACGCGAAAAGGCTTTGGCTGTCACCACGAATAGTCTCAAGGCTCACGAAGCCGCATTAAAACAGCTCGTAAGGACATAGTTGCGGTATTCAGTATATGGGGAACTTCGATCAGGAAAAGGAAGTACAGGACGCTTCAGAATTACATCAACATGCAGTAGTAGAGGAAAAGGAACTCAGAGAGAAACGCAGCGAGTTGGACGGTTACACGTAGTTTTGGATACGTGTCGAGCTGTCACTGCACACATGCATCATCAGTTCCCAATACCAGTCGAAAATTGAGAGCAGCAAACGGCAACTGGACGAGCTGGACAGGCAGGTGGACTCTGCCGTGTTGAAGAACAGTAAGAGAGAGCAGTGTGATTTTGATGGGAAATTGAAATCCTGTAGCAACACTAGGGCGGATTGCGACAGAGATAAAGTCACGCGACTTGAAGCAAGCTGAGGAGAGGCTTACTTTAGCGCAGCAACAGTTAGAGGCAGCAAAACAAGAGTAATATGCCTACACGTAAAACTCCGGGTGGAACGGTACGGGTTTTAGATACAACGCGAAAACCAGTGACATTCTACGACTCACGCAAGCTCGGAAAATGTGAGTCAGCAGCACGGTCATTCACATGCAATCTGCTACTGTGCAGTCTCGATGCCCAACGACAGACTATGACCAACTCCTCGTCATCAGAGGCGGACAGGCTGATGGAAGAGGCCAGAAGGGAGGTTGCTCATGCTAAGAGTCTACTTACGCCTGATGTTGCAAAGTAAATCACCGTAGATGTTTTCCGTCCGATTTTAAGTGATATATCACACTAGGAATTCTGCTACTGTTTAAACGGTTAGCTTTAGCTGTTGGTTGTACATATTTTCTTGCCATTGGAGATTCGAAGAGTTGTGACCAGGTCAACTGAAAGCGAACAAGATGATGAAACCAGTCCATCGTTCATGCAGGCGAACCGCCTTAGACACACCAGTACGACTTGTATTTCGCGGTCACGTTCATATCTCTATATCAGGAGCTCGAAATACCCCGGATCAATCTGAACTGAGAAAGTTCATGAAAAATCCGTCTAAAGAAGTCGCCGCTAGAATGTCAGAAGAGCTCATTGAGAAGCTAGACACTGAGGTTCGTCACGCTCAACTGTATTGAGGGTGATCTCATTCACATTCAGGTCGACCTGGCCCTTTACAGGGCGAATAGCACAGTGGGAATGATCGAGAATCGAGTCAAGGTGACAATATGAACAAACTAGGCGAGTGACTGTGGGTAATCAGGATCTCGTTAACGAAGTCAACTACGCTCAAAAGGATCGCGATGCTCTCAAGACTAAGTTCAGTAAAGCTGTAGATCAGTCGAAGACTGCGGCTAGGATTCTTGCTGAACTCCAGAAGAGAAATGATATCACCAAAAAGGCAGAGAAAAATGATGTGAGTCGTCAGGGAAACTTGTATTGGTAGTGGAATGACCGAATTGACGATTGAATCTCAGACTTCTACTTATGACCACTTGACTGAGCAACAAGCTGTATTCTCGGAAAAACTGGAGAGAGCTCATGAGACGACCACCGATAGTCGAAGTAAACTGCAGGATGTGTCAGAGCGTTACGAGCATGCCAAGGTGCGACAGCAACAACTTCAAAAGAGGTAAGTGACAAGGCGCCGTGGCGTATGGAGTTGCACATTTAGGAGGGCGGCTGTAGAGTCAGCGGTGAAAGCTCTAAAGTCTTCCTTTGAGGTGATAAACAAGGACCAGAAGAAGGACGAGGCGTTGCTCCGATCTGTGGTACGATCAAAGACTGATAGGCTTCCCTTTATGGCCTTAGTTCATTGAAGGAATAGAACATGATTTATCCACTTCGTTGTAGACACTGAACGTAACGAACCTCAAGAGCGACTACGACAAAGTGAAGTCGGAGAAAAGCAAACTGGAAGAGCAGTTTGTACCGTTGAAGAGGCAAATGGGCATCGCGGCAGAAGCTTTCAGACAGCAGCGCAAAAGTCAGGAGGAGAAATCTAATGAAGTAGACTCGTGGAGTGCCATGCTATGCAGTGACGAGTCGTTAGGTGCGCGATGCAGCGTCACGGCTAAACGTGGAAATAGCTGCTTTAAGTAAAGCTGAACAGTCTCAGAAGAAATCAACGGCAGAACTGGATCAAGTAAAGTCTGGATTGTCGAGGAAACACGAACTGCTGGAAGCCAGCCGAAAACGCAAGGTGAGCGCGCGCTTGAAATTTCTCAGTCGAATGGAGCATTTTCCGGGTTCAGGCTTCTCTGGAGAATCGACTTGAGAAGATACAGGGGCAACTGAGTGAGTTGGTGAAGAAGTCGAGGTCCAAGCAGTGTCCAGAAATGGACATCCTATAACCTGTTAGATGCATGCCATTTACTGTTAAGCGGTTGTGCTACTGGTTGGAAAGATTTTTATTTGTTGGGTTGTATCAGAATGATAAACTGGAGATTCAATGAAAGAACCTCGTGATGCTCCAGGACGCTGGAAGATCTCCTAATCAGTTCATTCTCCCGAATTCGTTAGTACGAATGATGGTCGTAAGAAATGTTGAAAAAAAACATCCTTGTCGAAAGACTCCCGATATGATTATGGCATGGTCATCATGAAGTACGATCACCTGTTGGATCGGTATATCAGATAGACATGCTCACTGGGATAGCATTCAAAGACATGTGGATGGAGGTGTTCTCTTAGGTTGATTGACGCTCGGGTTATTGTCTTCTGTCCAGTCGCTTGATAAAAACTTGTGCGCAACATGCAGTTCCAACGAGCTTGTAAGTTCCACGATGCAATGATACAGTAACAAAAGGTCGAGCCGTAGCTAGAGACTTCAGCGCGACTGTTCTCGAGCTGCGGAAGTTTTGTTGCGACGAAATAGCAAGTTGCCAGCTCTGAATCGGGTTAAACGGTTTGCCGGATCAATCGTCGCGAGTTTTCCCCTCATTCGCGTTGTGTCAATGCGTAATAATTACGCCATAACTCCATGTACAACTGAGGCAGTCGAAACGCTAGGAAGAGGATCAAGATAGCGAAGGCTCTCGGCCCGAAAACATCAACCGGGCACTCACAAGGGAGTCTTGATAGGAATGCACAAGTACTCAAAAGTCTTGGATGCTCCTCAACTAATGATAACGTGAACAGAAGCACGGTTTAATTCAGCATCGAACATGCCCTGAACGAAATAATCACAGACGACCGACGGCACAGACTCTAACTAATAATTAACGCAATCCCTATGGAGGGGTCAATATTGATCATGCATCGACTATTTGCGTGATGTCGAATAATCGACAATGAATGCGAAAAGATATATGCGTTCAATAAGCGGGTGATGATGATGAAGTAAAAGGGATTATAGTAACCTCTACAGTAGCGTTCCATCACAGGCCTTCTCAGGCACACATATAAACAACAGGACATGAATTGATCATTGATACCCGGCGGGCTGAGAGCCGGATCGTTGTTGCCCATCGAGAAGTCCTGTCGGTAGGATTCCACCATACTCCATCTGGGGAGGTAAATGAAGATGCGGCAGACCATGTAGCGGCTGGGCTGCTGCTATCGGAGGACTCGCGCTCAACGACCGAGTTCTCTCATCCACCGCGCCAACGATCGCTCCACTAAGTCAGTGACAATAGATTCACACATAACAAAGATCTCACCCGTACAAGCCTCCTGGGTACGGGCCGAAAAATGGACTTCTACCATCATAGTGTTGAGCCATGGGCAGCTGAAAGCTATCGAAACGATGCGAATCGCACAGAGCACATTATTTCTCACTCGGGCAACATGCCGTTGGCTGGTACTGAGCTAATGCTGCCTTGGGGCGATTCAATCGGCGACGACACCGGCGAGTACTGAGGACTTCCACCCACTGGGTCTAGACCGGCTCCGTTGTGGGTGAGCCTGCTGGGACTGTCTGAGTGCCGCTCATGTCGATGACAATCTTACGGAGGTAGAGTTGACGAAAGCGGCAGGGAAGGGGGCGGAGCACTTCTATCACAGCGTGGGGGGATGTCCCGTCTTGTTTGATACCTATAACCATAACAGGTCACTCTGGAAATGCCTGACCCCCGCAGTGCTCACCCATGTCGAGCAGTACCACCCATCACGACGCCTACCGTATCATCGGAGATTCTGACACCACAGTAACTGCCATGAGAAACCTCGGTCGACTAGACTGCGTGCGCCCAACGTGTTCGAACAGGACGTTGGAGAGACGTACAGAACAACACTGCCTACCTCCTCAGCTCACTAAGCAAAGGAGCAGCGAGCTGAGACGCAGCTGGCCTTCCACCACGTTGGGAGATTTGGTTCAGAATCTCGTCCGTCACACGCGCTTCCATACCAGGCTGAAAACATAGATGGAAATAGTGACATACCATGGAATCGTCATAGCAAGTGTGCGCAAGAGTATTGAGTAAAAGCTCGACTGTCACAGCTCCATATTGCCCTCTCACCGGCCTCCTGCATACGGCTAAGCCATGCGGGCTCGGCAAGCCATATGCACATCGGACAACTTTGGCCGCCATCTCCAACTGATTGGAGTAGATACACCCACGTGCCAATACCGCGTACCTTCATGAACAAGTGATCTTCAGTTTGGGAAAATGTGCACATGGTCAACCACATGTGTTGGTGACTAAATGAAAATTATGAGGAAATTTTGGTAAATTCTCATTGATTTATGTACACTCCTACACCATTCGTATGTTGACATGTATATTTCGTGGGGAAACTGTCAAGCTCAGCTGAGGAAGGCGAACATATTTTTCAGCATTGGTGATCATTGAGTAATACAGGAGATGTTCAATACACCTCTCCCGACTTTCAAGAGCGCTTCTAACATCGAGTTCTACATGCCAAATCAAATCCTGTTAGCACTCTTGAAATCTCAAAACGACCCGATTCGCCCTGTTCTTGGGAAAAAAAACATTGCACGCATGCCCACGTCTTCTGATCCGGATCAACCCGGTACTCCTGGATCATCGCATCATGTAATTTCATAGCCCTCTGTAGCTGTTTGTTGTGCACACACGCCTGTATCAAACACGTGTACCTACACACCGCATCCTACATCTGACATGAGGTCCACACTCACACGTGGACGTTGGCTCGGAAGCTGTAAGCTGTGGAGAGATCCTCAACCATATTGAAAGCCTCCAACAGCCTCCGTGCTCTGCCCAGTAACTTCACCAAAATCGACAGAGTATAGTTACCTGAAAAATATTTCACCCAAGAACACGACCATACAACTCTCACTTGGTGCAACTCCATTCGCCCGCATCTCATCAAGCAACTGCAATGCTTGATCAACGCGATGCTGCTTAGCGCACCCATCCAACAGAGAGTTGTACATGATCTCATCAGGCGCCTGCGATCACTCCCACTAGTAAAAAATTTTCTCAAAAAATTCTATTACGAATTTCTTACGACCGCCACGACGACTGACGCCCGACATATCCCTCAACACTGAGAAGGCCGTATCAACGTCCCCAGCCAAGCAGTAACTATCAACAACACATAGTCGCCCACCAAAGCTCCTCTCTGCTCACCCTTTCACTACAGTGCTGTAAGTGATGATATCAGGTTCGATTCCTTGCTCGTCCATTTCTCGAAATATATCCGAAACCTGTCGTCGCATACACCTTAGCACAGCAAGTCACCATCAGCAAGCCCACCCGCTCCATCGAACCGCTCCGAGCACAGGCGTCCATGATCGTATTGAAGGAGACTGTATTAAGGGGAATCTTATTACTCCTCATTTCCTGGTATCTATCACACAATAGGCATACACTACATCAGCAACTCCAATACGTACATATCAAAAACTCTATCTACTTGTTTAGAAAGGGCGAACCCCTTGAGCACCGTTGAGTACCTGGCCAAAAGCCAGGAACCTTCTTAGAAGCGAAGTGAAAATGCGGAACGTATATGTTCAACAGGAATATAATAAAATATGAAGGAATACTCACACGATAGTGTTCACACAATCAGCGCAATCTGGTGTATTGAGCATTTCATGAATTAATGATAGCGCATCTTCTGGGTAGCGATTCGTGACCAGAGCATCAACCATACCTACAACAAGCGAAAGAATAATGCCCTCCCCAGGGATCGAACCCGCGTCCTCTCACATCCCAACGTTATTGCTGTCGGTTTAACAGCCCTTTGACGCATCTCCGACCACAGCGACCAGACCCTCCTCAGATCCTTAGCGTGCCCATACGCCTTAATCATACTCCCATATGTCGGCGCTGTAAGGCCCTTCACCAGGCCTCCTCCAGCCGTATACCTACACCCAACCATCGGCCCCTGTGAGCCTACAAGGATGTACTGTTGGAGCTTATTCGAGAGTATGTCCAATTTCCCAATCCGGATGCATGCCTCAATGACTGATGAAAACAGTACTTCATCCATCTCCCCACGCATTCTCTCCACTAACTCCATGGTTCTCACCTGCCAACAGTCCTCATCAAAAATCGGGCAATCTACATCCTTTCCAGGTCAATCGAGGAGTTTAATTTCTTACCCATCTGGTTGAAGTTTCACCTTGTTCGTTAACATTTTACCAGTTGTTTCAATAAAATCTCAGGAAGATCAATGGAGTTTCACCCGTAATGTGAAAACCATGTTTCACTACTACTGCATATCTCCGCGAATATCGCGTTTTTCACCGAGTTTTACGCCACTTCACGTTAACGTAATCACACTCGAAGAGTCCCTATATTAAATTTCAGGTTCATATGAGTCAATAAAGTGGGTCTTCAGACTGCACGTGCGCATCGCGAAAGCAAGACATCTCTCATCAGTGAATTCCCTCAAGACATCTACTACCACATCAGAGGCATGGGAATGGCTCGTCAATGCCTTGAGCAATATAGAACATGTTACTTTATTCGGAGGCAGACCGTTTGCCTTCATCTCCTCGACGACCTGAGCGGCGCATCACTACTACTACTACTACTACTACTACTACTACTACTACTACTACAGCAACCTATGAGCCCCCTCACCTCCCAGATGCCCCTCTTATCCTTGCCCTGGACCATGCTATGCAGTAGCTCGTTGTACGTTATAACATTGGGTGGAAAACCCGCCTCCTGCATCTCACGCATCGTTTCTATGCAAAGTCAATAGTTCAGTCACTTCGCCCACAAGGCATTCGAAACCCCATTATGGGGAGATATGCACATGCTCAACTACATGTGCTGTTAAATTCCTAGGAAATTTCGAGAAATTCTTTTTCCTCCATGCTCACTTCTATCCAATTTCAGGCAACCTTCTGGGCTCAGTGGAGGCAAGCGAACATTCGAACATTAACCTTCCTACTTCGAGCCTGTCTCATATTGCCCTGCTTCAGATGACCCTTCATGACCGTATTGAACGATACCACCTAAATCATCTCACTAATGACAATCCCCCAGCAACACACAGATGCTCTACTGAGCGCTTACGTTCGGTACCCCCGCACCAGTGATACTCACGTCTAATCTGCCGGCCCCCTTCATCTCCTCAAAGACTTTGCCAACCACATCCATATCGTCACACTGAACAGCTGCATCCAACAAACAATTGTATCTACACCAACACTACAAGGCAACAGCCCGATAAAACTGGTGCCTCCTCACACGAAAGGGCTGAGTTCTCCCGAGCTGTTACACCCTAGTGTCACCGCCGTCGATGCATCCCCAGCCTCACCAGCAGCAACAGCAGCTTTCAACTCCGTGAACAGCTCCAAAGCTGAGCCAAGGTCTCCCTGAAAATGGGGGGGGGGGGAAAAAATCACAGCTTCGCTCCGCTCATTTTCCCCCACCTGCAGCCCATAGCTCCTTATCATCGCCATATGCATTCCAAAATCGTCGTCTTTCTTCGGATGCATCTACAATTCAACACCGAGTGCTGCACGCCCGCCCCTCCCCCTTCCTCACTCGGAACAGCATATCAGCAAGTTCATGACGCCCAGCCCGGACAGCTGCAAACACTATTAGACTGCACAGCGCTGGGTCTACCAATACAGACCTATAGAGACTAATCAGCAACAGCGGGACTCACCTGGTGACAGTCCAGATGGCTGCATATCCACCGTATAGATGTTACATATATCTTCCCACTGCTCTTTCATGGCCAGGACTTTGATCACCTTATCCATAACCTAATAGCAATAATAGATCCTCATTGATGGACACAATGTCGTCAACTTGGAGGTTCATGGCAGGATCAGCAGTCGGCATCTTTTCCTCTTTATACTTGAAATATCTGATCACACACACTGAAGACAACAGTCCTTCACCAAGGTAACATCTAGTCCCACTGTGTGAAACATTCAACAACTACAAAAAGTCTGAATTTCCGCAAAATTGAAACCATTGCCATCGAGAATTTCTCATATCGCACTAACGAAGCCTTGTACTATTCCTCAGTGGAAATTACGCTAACTCTAAGGAGCGAACAAACAATAACCTATATTTACAGATTTTCCTATACAAACTCCAACCAGAATATACACTATCTTGGAAGGGGAAAACTACACCTTTTCCACCTCTAGTTGAAAGAGTAAAACGATCCTCTCAATTTTTAATTCGACGATTTTTTAACTCGGGTTTTTTTGAATTCTCAAGGCAACTCGGAAATCGGAATTAAATATTTTTAAATAGAACTTCCTGAACTTCATATCAAAAAGTTCGAATTCGAAGTTTGCTGAGTTAAAATGCCTGACAAGAGGTTTAAATTGAGAACCCACTATCGAAAACTTGAGGTGAAAAAGATGTAGACGGTATGAATAGAATAAACACTGTATCGGGAGGGGGAGGGACGTAGACAGTATGAATAGAATAAACACTGTATCGGGAGGGGGAGGGACGTAGACAGTATGAATAGAATAAACACTATATCGGGAGGGGGAGGGACGTAGACAGTATGAATAGAATAAACACTGTATCGGGAGGGGGAGGGACGTAGACAGTATGAATAGAATAAACACTGTATCGGGAGGGGGAGGGACGTAGACAGTATGAATAGAATAAACACTATATCGGGAGGGGGAGGGACGTAGACAGTATGAATAGAATAAACACTATATCGGGAGGGGGAGGGAAGTAGACAGTACGAACAGAATGAACACTATATCTATACAAACTAATCCACACTAATATCTTAGATCACATCACTAGGGATGAGCTTCCCCCCTACCCCCTGGTTTTCTAATCATAGTTCTATACCCTCAGCCCACACACACCGAGTCCTAACATGCCTCCCAAGAGCCTACGTCTCCAATGCTAGTGTGGCGTTCTTGCTCGTCAGACAACCGTTGAAGAACTGAAGGATAACACGACCATCGACACCGCATCGTGGTGGCGCAATAGCCGACAATGCTCCACACAAGGATCGAGTCTGAAGAAAACACGAGCAACCCTGCGTGAAATCATCCATCCAACGTTACGATCGAAGCTTGATCGATCGGGGTAATCACCGCTGGTACAGCTGTCGGCGAAGGCGTTGGAGACCTACGCCAAGACCCTCATCAGAATCGAAAAACCATCTTCGTCGTACCATGCTTTCAGGTTCACAGGGTAACCCGAACTAGCTCTCGAAACTGGCGTTTTCAGTACACGTTGTCGTTGCTGCGGAGTTGGATTCACCGAACCACAGTTGGATGGCGACTGTTCAACCAGGGCATTCGTTATGATGCTCGCCACCGTGTGGTGGTGATCCTCCTCGTCATCATCTTCCCCCTTCAACGGCATGCCTAGATAGAACACGAGAAATACCCATCCATCATCACACGGTCGCTCACCTTCATTAGGCCTCCTTCTGGACCCAGAGTGAACTGGGGTGGAAACCATCAACGTCCTCTGTGTGGTACTGGGCGAACCCTAGGGCATCACCAAGTGACCGGGCCGAGCCTCCTCAAGAGATTGGCTCAATTCACTAGAGTCAATATCCAATGTGTTGAAATAAATGTTCGGTTTCCTCAGCTGAGCTTGGGAGTTCCCTCACTACCTTATGAAGATTCACACACGACTCACAAGTGTAGGAGTGTACAAAAGCCAATGGGAATTTCGCGGCCAGCGTAGCTGACAATGTGCATATTCTCCCACACTGCAAATGCTCATCGGGGACATAACGAACAGGCCCGATAGAAAAAGGCAGTGACATTGAAGTCCGCCCTCACCATAAGCATCTCCTCCTCATCTGGAGTCGCTGTGTCAGTTTCCATACCCAGCTGAACTGAATTCGACAACAAGTCGGCCGGAATCGTCCTTGGACCTGCCAAGATAAAATCACCAACAAACAACAACAACAGCGATAAGAACAACAGCAACAGCAACAACAGCATCAACAGCAACAACAACAGCAGGAGCAGCAGCAGCGACAGCAACAACAACAGCAGGAGCAGCAGCAGCGACAGCAACAACAACAGCAGGAGCAGCAGCAGCGACAGCAACAACAACAACAGCAGCAGCAAGAATAACGAAGGACAAAGAGAAATCACCGTTGCTCGCGTCTTGTTTGGAAAGCATCCGAGACGAAGGATATCCATACCTGATCAGAAGCCTCTAGTAGTCTCACGACTTCTCTACAATACGCCATTTGACTACTCCTATTAATTGCAGTAGGCAAACTCACTTAGAGCAATAGAGATTGTACAGGCTTGCCATAACCATGGCAATCCTAATAAGATCCCCCGCCAAATAAGCCACAAACATCTGACCATAAATCTCACCACCCAACAAACACCCCTCTCCTAAGGACCCTACAGGGAACGACACTGTCGATGTGTCTATCATCCGGTCCAAGGGTAATAACAAGAACAGTAACACACTATAAAATAGAAATTAACCGATCAATCTATTCCCGAACGAACTGTTATATGAGCATACAATGAACTCCCATGCTTCAGTTCTTTGATTAACAACCAAAACCACTTACAGGAAGAGCAGAAACCAATCGATCACAAGAAGCTCATATTTAACCTACCACAAAGTTCATATATTTTACTATAGTAGTAAAATAAAAACTACGATACTTCTTCAAATTCACTACCATTCGAGTCACTTCACTAAGGCAGCTCTTTTTCCCGAACGAAGACTATAACAGTCTCGTTGTCGAGTAACAGGGTCAGATTGAAAACTACTATTATAACAGCCATGGATGGTCAGTAAAAGACCTCTCCTCAGTATTGCTATGTTCATCATACCCATTTAAAACACGAGCTCCCACTATGAATGAGTGGAGATTGAATGACTCTATTGAATGACTTTCCAGACTACGGTGTCGAGACCGATCGAATGAGACGGGCAAAGCTTATTCCCATAGACACTCAACACAATGACCAACCCTTGATGATGCCAGTATGAAACCACGTTAGAAATACTATCACAGGAAGCAACACCGATCTCAACAACAACGGTGGAGTGTGCTGTTGATCAACACAACTAGAAGTCCCAACCATCGGGGTCGTCCGCAAAGATACTTTCATCGTCACCTTCACCGACCTCATCAGGTTTCTCCCTCAGCTCGTCGTCCCAACCACCATCGTTCCCGACTTCGTCAAAGTCCCAATCGTTTTCCCCCAGCGATGCCTCCGCACTGTCGCCTTCCAGCTGACCACTCAAGTAGGGCCTCAACAATGCAGGGATCTTTTCGAAGACACTCTTCCGCCGGAGGGCCAGTTCAGCCAGCTGGGTAGCCTCGAACCCCAGCCCGATGACTCCATCGACTACAACACAAATTTCCGCCACCACCGATAGAGACCCCCTGCATTCCTTCAGCACGCTCTCAGCGCTCAATGGTAGCCGCCTCACGTTGAGGCCTGGCAGCAGCGTGTGCAACCGTACCAATGTCTCTGTCAGCTGACCTCCGCCACAAACGACTATATCCAGTAATTTCCTCGCCAGGAAATACCGGTTCAACAACTTCTCCTCATCCTCGCGCCTGTGGGTTTCCCTCGATGCCAACTCGGCGATTGTTGCTTTGAGCCTCTCCTCGAGTAAATCTGGCAGCTCAATACACTTCGAAAGGAGTCTCATCGCAGCACTGTCACAAGTAGTATCACCAATATTAGTAGTAAGAAGAGTACACAACTGTTCCAAAGCCAACACCGCAACGGTCCTGTTATAATTACGATGGTTGCTCTCTACACTGTTGTTATTGCCAGCGACTTTTTCTATGAATTCAGGGTCGTCAAGTCGTGCCACAAGGTCCTCCTCGTTGCCGTCCAGCATCCCTTCCCAGTCCCCACTGCCCGACGGAGTGCTCACATCATCGCAAAACTCCGAGTCAGAATCATCAGGGATCTCATCGTCACCATCAAGCTGGGCCAGCACAGCCAGCGCCCTCTGGAGCTCACCGCTGACCCCTAGACCCTCCCGATGAGCAGCCGCCCTTTGGCGTGATATCCGCAACATTACAGCCTCCCGATAGTCCTCATCCCCTGCCAGATGGGCAACCGAGAGGTAGCGGTACTCGGCCTTCAACGGCACACAACGCTCTAGTAACTTCACGATAAGCTCCAGTCTAACTGCTCGTGGAGATCCCGGAACACTAAGGGACTTCACGAAAGCCACTACGCGCCTTTTATCGGTGAGTGAGATCACATCGCTGTTCAGAACTGGACACAGCAGCTTATCATCAACCTCCACAGGACGAGACCCAAGCCTTAGTAACATACCAGCAATCTCGATATCGTCAGCAAGAAGGCCCATGGCGGCGTCCACGATGAGACCATCCCGTGATATCGAGTATTCTGATAAGACTGAACTCTGCGGCATATCCCTCACTGTCGTACACAGGTCCCCTAGTCGAGACACATCACAGCCCTCCTGTGAAAAAATGCCCCCACCGAGGATCGAACCTGGGAGGGTGTAGTCAACCTTGAGATCCTGGAAGTTCTTCGGTGGCCAGTCCGGAATAGTCTCCGCCCATTCCGCGTCATCCGAGAGTAACGGCAAATTAATGCCAGCTTCCGACTTTAAATATTGGCTTGTCGCTCTCACTGCCTCAATAACATCAAAAACATCATCCTCGCTGCACGTCGTGGCGCCATCAGCGATCATCCGACTCATATCCTTGAGTTCATCGCTCTCCACAACTCCACCACTTTGAATAACAGCAGCAGCGAGTCGCCAACAATTGCCATACCCAGCCTCCTGGAGCTGTTCAATATACTCTACCGCCTCAGCAAGCCGTTGATCCGATAAGCTATATTGACATACCAGCAACAGACCCCCTCGAGACCAAGATCGATAACTAATACTCTCACTTAGTTCCCTCAGGCCCTCACTGTTGCCCAACGATTGAGAATTATAAGCCACTACTGCATTGAGCAACTTGAAAGCTGCCTCGTCAGGAGTGTGAGTGGCCAGAAGCATTCTGATATCATGAGGAGTAGAAAACGCAAAGTCTCGGAAGGAAGCCCGAGCATTCGGTGCTGTCGCCTTCAACACGACGTTCACCGCTTGCCCGACCAACTTTCCCCCAATGCCAGGGCCCTTGTACTCCCTATACGATAAGAGGTCGAAAACCAACGCACATATGTCCAGCAACCCTGACAATTTCCGGGCGCGCGAAGTTTCACCAAGCTTCAACAGCCGTCGGGCTCGTTCGATACCAATGTCATACCGCAAGGCATCTGCTGAGTCAATGGCTCTGATGGCCGCCTCGGCAACCCAGTCGTCAACCTCGCCGCTCTCGTGACGCCATTTTCCAACCGCCCACGATAGCGCCTCAGGCAAACTGTCTTGACCCACGAGTTGGTCACAAAATGCACCGTAAACCTGCGATATTTCAACAGCCTCACATAGGGCATGCTTGACAATGTACAGGAGTATGTCGAGGAGGCGTTGCCAGAAGAGCTCACTCCGAGGCTTCGAGCCAGCCTCCATGACCATACCATCAATCAGCCTACTCGCGTACTCCTTCTCCGCGATAGTCATCGAAGCCGTGCCGCCGCTGCCACCACTGCAGACTTCCATAAAGCGGAAAGTAACGCGAGAGCAAACCACGTTGAAGTTAGAGTCCATGAGTTCAGCACAAGTCGTATGAGCATCCAGACGATCAGCCCTTGCCATCAGCTTCGTCCACGCCTCCTCTTTAACCCCCCGGGGAATACCCGTGCCGCTCGCTGGCAACGATTGGTAAATATTAGATACATACGCATGAACTGCCACCGCCGGGGCGTAGCGACTGTTATAAACACTATTTACGGCAAACTGTACTAGTCGAGCCGTTGAGCGGATGATCCTGTCCTGGGGCTTCAAAGTGGGGTTAGAGGCACACACCACATCTGCGACCCGATGGACAACCTCAGCTGCCTCCTCAGGATCTCGAGTG